TCGGAAAAGGCCCTGGTATGCCATGGGATTTCCAGCGAAGCTTCGCTTTGCCAAAACAACGGCTCCAGGGTCAAGAACTTGCCTCCCTTAGCATTGGAGCGCACCTCGCCCAAGTTCCACATGCGCCTGGCGTCATCGTCCTTTTCTGTCTCCGATTAAAAAAAAAGGTTGGTTCAAGCGTGCGAAACTGCTTGAGCCGCGCCGTCGCCTGTGCGTGCTTCGTTGTGGTGATGTTGATCTTTAAAAATGCCGAGACTGCTGGAGCTGTTTGGCCGAGCCTTCGAGGCGGCGGGCTGGGAAGTCGTCTCCCTGGACATCGTGTCGAAATTTGAGCCCACGATCCTGTGCGACATCCGGAGCTGTTTCCGCCGGGGTACTTCGACATGGTCTGGGCCAGCCCGGTCTGCGCGGAGTACAGCCGAGCTCTGACGAAGCGCCCGCGACGAATTGAGGAGGGCGACGCGCTGGTGCTCAGTGCGCTCGAGATCATAGCGCACTTCGACCCACTCATGTGGGTCATCGAGAGCGGCCACCGGGCTGCTGAAGACCGGCCGTTCATGGAGCGTCTGCCCTGGGCGGACGTGACCTACTGAAGTACGGGACTCCGTACAGGAAGCAGACCAACAACATGCGCTGGAGGCCAAAAGCCGAGGGCTGTCCGGTGCGAGGTGTGGGAAGACGGGAGGCGTCGGAGGGGCGCCCAGAGGGGGCCTCGACTCATGGTGGAGCAGCGCGAGAAGGTCAGCGGGCAGTCGCGCGAGCTGCTTTACAGCATTCCCACAGCGCGAGATTGCGAGTGCGGCCACGACAGAGCTTGCGGAGCGGCTGAGCATCCCGGACTAGGGCCGAACCAAGGATTAAGATCCGTCTCGGAAGATCCGTCTTGGGCCGGGCTGGGACAAGGAGAGGCGCTCACCGGGCAGACTGCGTGCACCATGCATGCATCATCGTCCTCAGAGCAGCCTATTTTGCAACCTACCGCCAAACCCGCACCGGCACGCACACCTATATGAAGCGTCACTAAGGGACTTTTCTCCTTCCGCGCTGGCGCAGGACTTTCGCTGCGTGCGGGTTTTCCTGGCATTCACACGCTCAGTGGACGGGAGGACTCCAGCTTGTGCATATGAGCTCCAAGGCAGAAGATCGCACCACTGTTCGCATCTCCCCTAAGCACTTTCGTGGCTGGCCCGCATAGGCCAGATCCACTCGCTCACCGCATCGCTCAGCAGTCCGCTGGTTAGGGCATTTGCGTCGCCGCAGCATAACCAGGAGCGCAAGGAAGCTCTTCCGATGGGCGTCCTAGCGGCTCCTCAGACTGCACACCTGCCCTACGCATTGCCTTGCGTTCCTTCCTTTTCGCAGCGCGCACCAGCATGCGCATGCGCTTCGGGGACATCCAACGCATCAGAGTGCGTGACATCAGCCTCACACAGCGCGCCGTGCGCGGATCGATCTTGCTGGGCGAGCCAAGACCACCAAGCTGGGCCAACCCTGGACATGCACTCTCTTTGGTTTCACCGGTCGTGACAAAGGTTCATCTTGGGGCTGTTTTGGCTCTGCAGCCTACGCATTGCTGTTACTCACAGCGCCACTAAGTCGCCCAACTGGCAATCGCCCGCTTTCGTGCTGCCTAAAACCAGCCGACAGCCTGCAGCACCTCCGCTCACCAAGCGACAGCGCACAGAGTTGTATAAGCAGTGCCTTCGTTTCGCCGCAGGTGCAACCCCGCGCTGAAGAGGGGCACTTTGCGCCTTGGCCTCAATCGCCTTTGGGAAGCACTGAAGGAGGGGAATATCTCGCCCCTTGTCCTAGGTGCACCGCAGTGCCCTAGGAAAGTGCTACCTTCCCAAGCAACCCGGTAAAAAAGGTGTGCGCCTTGCGGTCGGCTTTTGGGTTCTGGGTGGTGATTTGAGGCTAGGAGCAGTGCGCGGGACCTTTAACGCTAAGGGTTTTCTTTTCCCTTGTGTTTTATAGGTCTGGGGTGAATCTCCTAGGCCGCTGCCGTTTGGTGCTCCTAGCCCTCAAGCTCACGTGTAGGACTCGCAGTCCTGGTTTCGTTTGAAACCCACCCACCCAACCCTTCTAAGCCCTAAGCATGCTTAGGCTTCCCGGACGTCCTCCAAGCTTTGGAGTCCACCGGGGAAAAAACTGGGAGCGCTCTCCCCGCCTTTTATCAGGGCCCAGACCCGCGGTCCGGCCCTGTTTGCATCTTTGGACCCGCTGGTCCTCTGATGCAGGCGTGGGCACGCATGCCTCGCCTTCATTCGGCACTTTTAAGCAAGGACACGCATGTCTTGCGATCTGTTTCACAGGGGGGGGGGGGAATATCTCGCCCCTTGTCCTAGGTGCACCGCAGTGCCCTAGGAAAGTGCTACCTTCCCAAGCAACCCGGTAAAAAAGGTGTGCGCCTTGCGGTCGGCTTTTGGGTTCTGGGTTTTGGTGATTTGAGGCTAGGAGCAGTGCGCGGGACCTTTAACTCACAGGTAATACACCTGGCGCTTGGTCGAACACGCTCTGTTGACCGCGGGGGCATTTGAGAAGGCTCCGCAGGGGGGTGCAGACACGGGGAAAGGACACGCACTGTCTTTCCCCCTGCACCCCCGAGCCTTAACTTCCAAGCAACGCCTTATAAAGAAAAAGAGCGAGCGCACCCTTTGTCGGTCGTTCTCTTTTGTCTCTTGATGCATGTTCCCTTTCGGATTGAAGCAGTGATCAAGATTCTAACATGATGTTTTACGCGCTCAGAAATGAAGACCTCGGAGCCAAAACTTCTAAAACGACTTTGGCAGCCTTGGTTGGGTTGAAGGTTTTTGGCTTTCTCATTTCTTTTTCGGCGTGGCTGCGAGTTTCGCTGGAATGAAACGTAGCAAGTTCTTTTATGGCGTGTTTTGGGTTGTTGTTGTGCTGCATGTTGGTATGGCGGCCACGCTGCGGCTCTGCGGCTGCTGCGTTCTGCTCCAGCAGTTTTTCTGTCGCGTTGCCTGTGACCTCGCATTCTTCTCGGGATGTCGCAGTCGTAAACACCTGGACATGTAGATCTCGTAAGCGCATGGAATGCTGATGCTCAGCAGTTCTGGCCAAGCTACCCCATCTTGTCACAGTTCGCAAAAACCAATATCTGAAGTTCACCGCCATCTGTTTCTTCTCCAGTTTTCAATGGGTGGCTAGAGGGCAAAATGTAGACACAGTGTTCTCATGCTGCTCATTTGCAACGAAATGCCTTATTTACCGGGCAGGCAGATCCTGTCTGACATGTCTTTCCCAGAGACAAACTTGGAAAACCATTGCGTGTAAGATCAACAACTGTCTGTTTTGCACATGGAACGTGCGCGTGTTGGGCAGGTGGCTCAGCAGCACATGTGGCTCGGTAACATGGAAAGCTGCCGAGTTGCTAACCCTTTTTTGAACCATTGTCATCTGACTAAGTGAACATTTTTAGACAAAGATAGGCATTCGCCAACCTTTGCGGGTTGACATTCTTGGCGACTCAATGTGGCAAACATGTTTGCACCGTCCGCGCAACAGTATTGCACCACATCTTGCACGCAGACTTGCAATGTCAAAGAATCGACCCAGCATTGCGCGCCTGGTTGCCTTCGCGACTTCGCGCCATGCTATGCGGGCTTTCGTGTCCAGGTTGTTCTTCCCGGTGCCCACACCGCACCTGGGCAGAGTCCCGCAGGAACCGTTGGTTTCTGGTCAGGTTTACTGGCGGCCTGGTGTTGTCTTGAATCATTCGGGCATTGGTTTGGGCCAAACTGCGTATGACACAAAGTGGCCTTCGCCTGTTTCAGAGCATCAATTTGTCACCCAACGTACAGAACCCTTCTTGACATCAATTTGACACGGTATATGTTTGTTGCCAGCACCTTGGAACAGCTTGATCCCTGATTTTGATTTCAGGCTGCAAGTTGTTGAAAGTGTTTGTGACTTGTTGAGCCACTGCAACCGCGAAATCCTGTGCGGACTGAGGTCATACTCGGCGAAGAGGTGAGGCCTTGTTTCTTCTTTCCAGTGGTTGGGCATTGATCGACACGTGTCTGTGCGCGTCTGAGTTGAAAGAAATTCAAGGGCAATGCAACTGCATTTCAGGGGTTCAAGGTGGGTGTGGGGGGCGTTTCAGCCATGTTGGGTTTGATAACTTTGCAGGGAGGAGCCTGTGAATCGAGTGAATGGAGTCATTGACCTAATATTTTCTCAAATATTGTGTCTAGATCTGTGAGGCATAAGTTACCAAGGATGCCGGGCCAGTAGAGGAACTGGCAGCCGTGTTTCTATACGACGCGTGTATGAATACTTGCATTGTAAGCAACGGGCGTTGGTTGGCAGGTTTGTGGGTCATTTTTTGCAGGTGGTAATATTATGTGCGGTTTGTGTGCAAGAAGTTTTGGCTCTTGGGATGTGGCTTGGCTTGTCTCTGTTGCATGATGTTTGCATGTGAGCCGTGTACAGGGGCAGATGTTCTGGCCTGGTGTTTGTTGAATGTTGCTTTTCTTGCTGTATTGCGGCAACCAAGCAGTGCTTCTCGTGTGTGCGTGTATTTTGTAGCAACCAGGCCAACAAACACTGTGTTGTCCATGGATTGCACAAAAAAAGTCTTCGAAAGACAACAGCATTTGGTTGGCTAGCACCCCCCAAGTGACCCCAAATTGTTTTCACTTGGCCTAAAAGTGAGCACACCCAATTAAGGGAATGGCAATTGAATTCAGAAATGACTGCGGCCACTTCTCAGTTTCTTCTTCAAAACTACGGGATTCTTCATCTTGGCACGCCGTCTTGCCCAGTTTCCCTGGCGAGCTACTCTGGATCCCTCCGACTTTGGACTACGCGACTTGTCAGGGGCTCAGTCTGGCACCTCGACGCTTGACACCCAAGACGTTTGCTGGCAGTTGGGCGCAGGCCACAAGTCGACCTGCTTGCCAGCATTGTTTCTGAAATGCGGAGGACTTAGCTTGCCGCTTGGTTGTTCCATGAACAAGTCAGATGAAGATTGCCCCGAGGTCCAAATGCAAAGTTCTTCATTCTGTTCCTGCACAGCAACGGGGAGGACGCGTTTTGCCCATCCTGGACGCCTCACAAGTTTAGCTGATGCAGGTTTTGTCCATGATGTTTGTTGAAAATAGGGTTTTACGGCCATTTGCTATACCAAGGGAATCCCTTTCAATATGACAAAGCAGTCACAGGTATGAAAGCGGATCATACACAACGCCGGAGCCAGATGACCTTTTTTTCGCGAGAGTTGGACTGCAGGACATCGGCATGTGCCATGCCTTTGTTTCGCGCTTGCGAGACTTGCTGGAGGCAGGTTAGATTTTGTGTTGACGGTGTGCGAATCTTTTCCTACACCCCCCCCCCCCCCCACTTTTGCGGTTTGTGGCGGCAAACCTGCCTTGGCAGGTGCATGTGCTGGCGGTGGAGTACCCTGGCTACGGCATTTGCCCTGGCACGCCCTCGGAGGATCCGACGTATCGAAGAACTTGCGGCCTCAATTCGCGGGAGTTCCTGAAGGTCCGAAACAGACATGTTGGCCCTTTTGAGAAGAGGTTTCACACTTGTCACTTTCCGAGCACTTGTCACTAACAAGTACTTGTTTTCTCTAGTCCTCTGGTTCGAAAACCACGGATCGTTTCAGCCAAGCAAGTGGCGGGCCCCTCATTTGGGCGGACCCATGGCCCCATGTTACACTTGATTTCCTAGGAATGGTGAAGGACTGTGATGCAGAGCTGTTTGATTGATGGAACTGGTGCCAGCGTTGCCAACGTGAGGATATTTGGGGCGATTTTAGGCAGTGTCCCATCTTTTGTTGCAATTCCCGGGTGAAAGGATAGTCTACCTCTTCACTTCTGGCGGGTTTCGGCTGTAGTCATCGGAGAGCCATCCGGAGGGAGAGCACTGGTATTTCAGTGCTCAGTGCCCGTGAGCTGCGACACGGCTACATTTGTTGGGCCCGCAGGCCAGCCGTGCCATATTCTCTTGTGTCTCGGCATCGCATTGAAACTGGACGGCCTGGGACTTGAGCCGACTTGGGTGCAAGTTTTGCTCTCGCCGGGATGCAGTTCAGATGGCATGTCGCCAGATATCTAGGAGCGTCTCCATGCAGCGGCGCGCCTGGGCTTCGGCTTCATGACCCAGGCGACCTCGGGTCGGAGCGTCGGCTCCTGTGAGGGGCTGGGGGTGGGTCTTCGATTTTCTGCTGGCCTCGGAATGCTCGGGCAATTCCAAGGGCTCCTATGGTTCCCAAAGGATGGTGGCTCTGAGGAAGCCTGTTCTTTTGCGCTGAGTTCGCAGCAAGTGAACTTCAGCCTGCCCACCGCGGCGCACAACCCGTTTTTTTCCCACATGGGCTCTGATCGATTCGCGCGCCCATGGCACCTCTGTGCGCCTCCCCGGCGTGTAGCTCCAACAGCCACTGGGAGCGAGAACAGATGTTCAAACCATGTGGGAAGCCCACCCGGCACCCCATGCAGATCCCTTCCACTTTTTGGGCAACGCGATCCCCCTGATCCGCAAAGTTGGTCGTCAGGTGCTGGGGGCGGAGCCCGCCGATGTCATCCTCTTCGGGCGGTCCTTGGGCACGGCGCTGGCCCTGGCCCTGGCGCCCCGGAGCAAACCGGTGAGAAATCGATGGGTCGCCGGTGTTATTCTGGTGCAGACGCCGAGTAAAAGCGCTCGGCTCTGGGCACTTTTTTGTTTTCTTCCTCCTTCTTTTTTGTTGAATCTTTCTCCTTTGTTTTGATATTTCTCCTGCTTTTTGGTTTCTTCTTCTTTCTTTCTTTTCTCACTTTGTTTGTCCGCACCAGATCTTCGTCTTTCTTTGGAGGCGTCCTCGTGTTTCTCAAAGCGGACTCAGAATCATGCAAAATTCCAATATGCAACCAGGGGTACTTTTTGTATCCGCCCATCCGCACATCTGTACTAATACAAAACAAAGCGCTTGTGCGGACGGCGCTTCACGTGAGTTTGGTGCTCCCAAAGTCAGCTTTGTGCTCGTCTCAGTGACCTTTGATGGAGTTGCACATAGTCCAGCTTGAAAGAAAAAACTTGTTTGAGATGCCTTCCTGCCTTGGGAAGATGGAGTCTTTGGTTTGAAAGTGGGCCATATGATCATGGGTCTAACCATGGGTCAAGCCAGCAGAGGTAGGGATGGATACAGCCCCCTAAACCACTAGGTGCAGGTTGTTTTCCATCGACGGGATGGCCATCCCTTTCAGGGTTTTTGGACCATTGGATTTTCCTTGCAGAGCTGACTGCCACGAAGGGGGTGCCGATTTGAAATTCAGGATGCGAGAACTGCGCCCAACTCCGGATATTGGGAGGGATTATTTGGGATTCGGGTTTTAGGATCTTTTGTTTCCGAGCTCAGGCTTCTCCAGATCACGCCTCCGAGAAAAAGCCATCCAACCTAAGCCTAGCCGGAACCAGTCCGCACCGATCCAGACCAATTCATCCTGGCAGCTAGATTGGCACGATTCCGTCTTGCTTCGATCAGTTCCCCGGCTGTGAATCACGTTTAGATTGGAGTCCTCTTGAAGCCGCTGCAAAGCCGGGCGACCAAGTGCAGATCTCCAAAAAGCACCTTCCATTTTTTTCTTCGAGGTTCTGCTAACGGGGAAAAACAGCAACAACCACAAACAAGAAACAAAACACCCGCTTTCGGGGGTGCCTTTTTATTGGTCTGTTCGTCTTCCTCGTCTTCCTTTCGGCACGCTCCAAGGGCGCGGAGTTCCGGGTGGGGGGGCTGGTGCTCGTGGCGCCCTTCCTGAGCCTCCGGGAGGCTGTGTCGCAGCCGGGGGGCCCTGGACTTCTGGCAGATCCCCATTGACCTCCTGTCTTGGTATGGGAAAAATTGAGGCTTCGAGGAAAGCAAGAGAATGGAAAAGGGGAAGGGGGGAGGTGTAGTTTGCTCGGGTGGGAGAGATTGGGAGAGATTTTTGGGGATGAGAAGGATGTAGGGAGAGGTTAGGGGCAGAGAGCAAAGGGGTCTTGGGAATCGACGGAGGTGAAAGCACAGAGGCACCACATACGATGACAATTTTGGATTTCTGATCAGCAGTTGACAGAATGTGTTGCTCACATGCCAGCTGCCCGTTTGCTGATGCCTCATGTTGGGAGATGAAAAATATGTCTTTGTGGGGCTGCCTTAAAGGGAACGCAATGGAATGCACGCGCCTCTGTGGGGGTCCCCCTGGAGACCACAGAGGCAGAAGCCAGCTTCCCATGTTTGTCTCTTGGTGAAGCGGCAGTTTGTTTTCTGAATGCATTTCCAAAGGATACATGTTCGGCCACTGAGACAACCATCCCTCTTCTTCCTTTTATCAGAGCTTCAAACACTTGCTTTAAACTGGTCACCTCAGTCTGCACTCTGAGCTCTACTAGGTACTGTCTCGGCCATCTGCCCTGGGACACCTTTTCCAAACAAAAGCTAGGGGCTGTTTGATTGATTTGTCCCCCATCTCCAAAACCTTACTCCATTTTTGGTCTTTTTTCTCACATCGCCACTTGCGGAATCCACTCTCTGAAACCTTCAGGTTCACTGGCATACAGCTGGCCGAGGTCCTCCTGGAGGAGTTAGGGAGTCAGGGAGCTGGGTCAGACTTGTTACAAAAAGTTCTCCTTAAGAGGGAACCCGTTGTCAGCTTGAACTTTTGCGGGAGCCACAACCCCCTGCACTTTTGCGGATCCAAGAGGGAGTGGTAACAATGACGGACTTCATGCGACCAAACGTGTACACTGACTTTTAGATTTCATTGCCGGTCGTTGTTACAACCGACAACCCCGCCTCTTACTTTGGGTCCCGGTTTCCCTTATCCCAATTTGGCCGGTACTTTTTCGGATGTCAGATTCATCTTTGATCCGGGTAAGTTCAAGAGGGTGCTCCGCTTAGCCATGCTCCGTTAACGGACACGGGCTGAAGCAGGGCGCGATGAGCCTTAAACCCGGCTGAGAATGTGACCACCCACACGATTTTCCATCGCTTTTGACCCAAGGCCTGGGTAAATTGGCATGAGTCGCACGTCTCCGTACAAAACCGGTTTTGTAGCTGCTTGACTAAATCCAGTTTCGCCGCTTGTCAGCAATTCGGTGTGTCTTTGTTGTTCTAAGCGTGGTGGGCCTTGTACTTGCGTACGCAGCAAAGAATGCGCGCACACGTGCAACACCTAGTGAACCTAAGCGGCATACTGGAGTTTTGTTGACACCATGGCAAGAGAAAGCGCCAAAGGACTTCTGCCAAACGTGGCATGCTTTGGTGGAGGTGCAGGTCAAACATGGACAGCCTGGCTTGCGTACAACTCACCTATGTGTGTGCATGCGTGTCTGCATCCTTTGCACTCTGGCCACTTGAACCGGCGTGTGCAGCACGACCCGAAGATTTGGTGTAGGAAGATCTAGGCGTTTCAGTAAGAAACAGCATGTACCCAGAAGATGCCTTCAGTCATGCCGGCTGTGCCGTGTGCGTGGGGGCCTGTTGTTTTCTAGGCAGACACTTATGCAATGTCCCCAAGATTGAGCTAGCACTGTTCTTGTCAGTGGAGTTGGCATGCATGCGCGTTGATCTGAGGGTTCACACGTAAAGAGGCTCGCTGGACAAGGAAGCTTTGGCGTGCGTAGTCATGATGTTGGTGTGCTTGCAGTGACACAGGTGCAGGTGGTTTCAAAGGTGTGAAGGATCAGACATCACACGACAAGATGGGGCTTGGGCTTCGGCGCTGTTGGATGCAAGGAGCTTTTCTGCAACAAGGACCGCATTAAGTCGGTGGAGGCAGCCCTGGGTGGCTTTCGGGCGAGGGCGAGCAGAGGGTTTGGGACATGCCGCAAAGGCGTCTTGCGATGAACCGCCGCCAGAAAGCTGGCCACGCTTTAGCCCTTTTGCGCAACTTGAGGCATTGGCAGGTCCGCTTCATCGCCTCCATCTTTAGTTATTGTTCGGGAAGGTGTACCAAGACTGGTCTTATAAGAGCACCCTTTAAGCACTTGCTTGAAAGCTGCAAAATCAACTTCCTAGTGGTTTTTTGCACAGTACCCCTTGGCTGCGGCGCGATTGCAGCGACATGAACGAACCCTGCGGGGCAAGTGGCACTTTCCCCGCAGACAGGTAAAACGCGAGGATAGGCTAGGCTTATCCTTTGCTCAAATCTGCCAGGGACATCGGCCGCTTCTCTAATGTGACAGGCAGCTCAGCCTGGTGACGCTCGCATCTCTGGCTGAAAGCTATGGACCTACACGGCGTTGCCCGCCAGAAAGCCCAAAATGGCTCAGACTCCGGTGCCACAGAAGACTGGCAGCTAGCAGGACCAGCGCCAAGTGTTGAGAGGCTTTTCTTCATTCTCATAGTACTCATAGTACTCTCGGGATTTTCGGTCGGAATCTTCACTTGAGCCACAATCAAAGCCCGGGTAGATGAAGGTTGGTAAGGGACAATCCCAACCAGAAGTAGCTGCGGCCACCTTCTTAATTCCTTGCATGGTTCTGGGCATTGGATTGTGACTCCCTGGCGTAAAAGTAACAGAGGCGCCGGGCACAGCGCTGTCGCCCCGCGGCCCCATGTTGGCGCCGAGCTGTGCCCCGCGCGCGGCATGGAGCGCGCCCTGCGTGCGCTCCACTCGTGCGGCGGGCCGCGTGCGGCATAGCGCCCAGGCGCAGGCGCTGGTTGACTTGATCTCTGCGGAACTGCCAGCCAGCAAACATATGGCTGTGCGTCAAAAAACCCGGTACTAACATGGAACCCTGGTAAGTGGAAACATGGACCAGAACTTGCGTAACCCCGCCTGTTGAACTTTGAGCCACACCCATATGTAAATAAAAGGTTCAAGATGGACATGGTTTTTTGTTAATGTTGAAACGCATGTGGAAACATGAACTGTGTGTGGAATGCTTGACCACAATGGCATGTGCCATTTTGGCTCAAGCATTGTTCTGGGTTCCTGGAACCCAAGCTGATTGAAAAACTTTGATCTTTTGCACTCTCGAACATAACCCCGACCAAGCAATGGCTTCCTCGGCAACCTCGGCAACTTCCTTTGAGTTGATTGAGGACCAGACACTCACCGTGGAGGAGGTTGAAATGGCCAGCCAGGAGGCCCAGGACATTCGCACACGGGAGGCGGCAGTGGCGGCCGGCTTGGTTTTGGACGAGCCCGAGGCCCCCCCGTCAGCTTCGGCGACCGATGTGATGAAGGACCTCTCCAGTGCACTGGAGCGTCTCCGAGTGGCATTTGCCACACCGACTCCCGGCTTGGGTGCCCCTGGCCCCGCCGAGGAGGGCGACAGGACATGGGGGATGCGGACGGCACGGAGCGGGCCACACCACCGGAGGAGGCGCAGACGCCACCCACGAAGAGACTGAAGGGCTTCGTGGCAGCTTCTCAGAAGGCTACGTCTCAGGCCAACAAACCTGTCACCTTGGTGCCGGTGGACGGAAAACCCGGGTACTTCAAGCTGGTGGACCTCCCAGACCTGTTTCCAGTCCTTCCAGCGTCGGCGGCCACCTTGCTGAGAGACATCACGATGGAGGAGGCGGTCTCCCTGTTTCACAAGTTTGTTGGGAAGAACCTCACGGAGGACCTGGTGATCCGCATCTTGGAGGCGTACGTCCCAATGAAGATCCAGCTCCGCCAGGAGGAGGTCTGGGCTTCGCAGTTCCAGAGGAACAAGGCGTGTATCGGCACCCACACAGGCTCGACGCAGGTCATTCCGACTACAAGTTCATGTGCAAGGCATGCGGAACGGGGTGGCCAGAGGCAGCCAAGCAGTGCTAGGAGTTCGCCCCCTTCCAGGCACCCTCGGCCACCTATGAGGCGGACGGCATCACCTACAACCTGCTCATCTTGGAGGGCAAGCCGACCTGGATCCAGCAGCGGGAATGGGGAAGCCTGGGTGCCGCTGGCCCCGGTGGTACCCGGGCACAGGCCGACCGCAACTTGGTGGACGGCACGGTCTTGGGGAGAGCCCCTCCAAAAACGGACTTGGCGGAGGAGATCACCATGGCAGATGCGGTCCCGCTTAACAGGCGGGTGGACATCCGGAGGCGGACGACAAGGGTTGAAGGTCCGGGAAAGCCAGAGATCAAGGTCAAAGTGCAGCGGTCCCTGAAGGAGGCGGAGGCTCAGAGCTTTGAGCTCTACCATCCCCAGGTGGACCAGGCGATCAGGAAGAAGGAGGAGCTGCATAAGGCCTTGCGGGAGCATCGGGAACCGACTCCGGAAAAAGGCCTCGGCCAGACGGCGGCACAAGGAGTTGGTCACTGAGGAGATGCTGGACAACGAGATGGCGATCCTGGCGCCCCTCCAGGAGGGCATGCAGGCCCTGCCGTCAGATGAGGTGGCCAATGAGGGAGCCCGTGCCCTCAGGAAGGTCAACCTGGAGCGTTTCAAGGCCAAGCTGAGAGATCAGTGCTTGGAGGGGAAGGGCGTTGACGCCAGCCAGGCATTGGCTGAGGCGATGGGCTCCATTCAGGCTCAGGCGGCAAACAAGCGAACCCAGGACACCAACCAGGCATGGATGCTCAACCACACTCTCAAGCCCTTGGAAGTGTTGGCGTGGCCGGATGATCTCAGGAAGGCCCTGGAGAGGGGCTTATTCTGCCCTGGAGCTGGATGACCCCGACGACATCCCCTGGTGGGGGTGCCACCGGCCAGCCCATGTGCCAGCAGGACCTGGACTCTGAGGAAGGCAAGCTGTCCCTTATCCTCTGGGCACTGAAGCGGCACCAGGGAGAGCTTCGGATGTTTGGGGGGGTTTGGAAGAAGCACGCAAGCGGTGAGATCCCCGGGGTGCTGACCAGCAGTTTAAGCTCGCGCCGGAGGAGCTCCTGGCCCTTGAGCGCAGGACTCACCCATTCACGTGCGAGCAGGACCACATCGACCCAGTCATCTACACGGCCTTGGAGATCCGAGCTCAGGTGAACCGGGGCGAGCGCCCGGCACCGGAGCAGGTGGTTGGTATCTTCTGGGCGAAGGGTGATGGGGTGTTTTGGACCAGCGGATGGAGTTCTACAAGAGGGTGGAGCCAACGGAGCCTCCCAGGGATGAGCGGCTGGTCCTGGGCAACGCGACCCCCGCATGCGCTTCAGTTCCTCGAACGGCCTGGGGGATGTCTCCACGGCCTTGTGGTCGGTCATCCTGAGCAACCCGGAGAAGTCGGGGCTGGCGGCAATCCACTCGGTGGCGATCCTGAAGGGAAGGAGCCGCTAGGTTTTGTCTCACAACCCTGTCGGACGTGGGAGTCGTGTGATTTCCTCCTCCCGGGACTTGGGTGCCTTTGGCCCCGTCGCCGGGGGGGGGAGGGAAAAGGGGTTTTCCTTATTGGGATCGGTTTTCACCACTGTTTCCTCTCTTATTCCACTCTGGTGGCGCACGTGGGTTCTTCTGGTTGCATGGCAGTGGAGCCACGTCACGGCAGCTTGATCTCCTCGACCATGAGGCCACATGCATTGGCTGCCCCAAGGACGGGCCATCTCAGCCACGGCTCGGAAAAAGTGGCTGTGGCCGACTCTTGGTTTCTTTGAGGCCCCCTTGGGGTTTTGGGGAATCCGTGCTTTTGGGGGGTTTCTGGGGGGTTGATTTTGGGTCGCGCTCCCCCCCCTTTTCCCGGTTAAAATCTCGGGACTTTGGGGGGGACTTGGGTTGCGTGTGGCCTGCCTGCTCCATCTGCACTCTGCATTCTGCAAGGTTGGAGCATGCATGCATTGTGCCGCGGTTGGGGTTCGATTGGAGGCTCGAAACCCCCTTTTTCATCATGGCTAGGGTATCTACCAAGTTTCTTATGCGCCCGCCTTACACACGTCTTTGGGACCGCATTCCAAGGGTCCTATGGGACCTGATGTGCCTGCGCCAAGGCACTGAGGAGGAGGGGAGGAGGCTGGGCGGAGAGCCGGCAATCCGCTTCTCTCAGCTCCTGGAACTCTCGGGCATTCCGGTAGGACAAGACGACCACGTGGTCCCGACGGACTACTTCAACGGCCTGGTGGCGTCGGCGGCAGGCAGGCTTCCCCAGCCTCTGTCCGCGGCGGACCTGGCCGACCTGTGGGACAGCCTATGGTTCCTCCTCCTGGCGACGGCGGATGGCAAGCCGAGCGAAAACTTTTCCCCGCTGGAGAATGAATGGGACCGCCAGGACCAATGGAGGTGGTTCTCACGAGATGACCCACCCCCACTCCAACAACCGGAGCTTCTGAAGTGGAGGCACTGGCGCCCGGGCAAAATAAGGGAAATGGAGCCCACGACCCAGCGAGCGCTGGAACTCCATATGCGCGGGAAATGGGCGGAACGGCTCCTCGCCCACTTTGCCCCGTTTGCGGAGCACATCGCGTACATGCAGGACATCCTCGGGGAGGACTTCCGCAAGGAGGCATTGGACCTCCTGGGGGACAATAGGTTCCGGACACTCAGGCAACATTGCCTGGTCTACGAGAGTGTCCGGAGATTCCATGGCAGAAACGACATGTCCGCTCTCTCCTCAACCAGCTCGCCGAAGAGGAGGTCACCCCGTACAAGCTACGGCAGGTGTGGAACACCCTCAAATGGTTTTCCAAGACCTTCGGTATGCTGAAGATAGACGAGCTCCATCGCCTCAAGTCCAAGAAGAGCTCGTTGGAAGAGGCACTCACGGACACGGTCACCCGGCCGCAGCGCAAGGCGGTGGTCCCCAGCAAAGAGGTCATATGGGCTCTGGAGGAAGGGGCTGGCTACGATCACCTGGGTGCCACCGGCCCCGGTACGCAGGCGGCCCCAGGAAGGAGCAGACACGAGGTACTCATCCTGGGTTTCGCCCGGTTCCAAGTAGGGTGCAGCGCTCGTTTCAATGACCTCCAGCATGTTCACCCCAAGGACCTTATCCACACCAGTAACACCGTGGAGCTGAAGGCCTGACAGACCAAGACGGTCAGCACGAATCAACCGCAACCCGGTCCCCTTGATTGCTCCGAAGTACAGCTTCACAGGGATCCCTTGACTACCTGGGTGGCCACGGTCCGGCGACAGTGAAGGCCAAGGACCTGTTTCCCACCACCCCAGACTTCCCCCTTCGGGTTGTTGCGGCGGTCAAACGCACAGGCAACGCCGGCCAGGCCAGAATCCACCTGCTGAATGACGAAGGCACGGCTGTGGGGTGCGGGTGGCGACCGGCGGCCTCTAAGATCCAGGAGCTCTCCGTGCTGGATTACATGTCGGAGCCAGAGGCCTATGGCAAGTGCGAACGTTGCTTCAAGAGGTATGGCTTCCCGGCGGACTGGGTACTGGAGCCCGCGGAGGTCCCCACACTGCAGGAGGACTCGGACTCCTCGGCGGACTTGGGCTCTGAAACGGATGACTCGGTAGACACCCAGTCGGAGACCGAGGTGGTGGCCCTACCTTTGGAAGCCTAGGTGCCCCCGGCCCTGACAACCTAAGGGGGAGGCCAAGGACAGGGCTCTGGCCAGGGCCCTCAGCACAGACTGGCATCCTTCGGAAATGTGCCAGACTGTCCTTCGGAAATGGCGCTATCAGTCTGCACACCCGTTCTTCAGTTTTTGAGAGTTTGTGTTGGGTGGCCCATGGGGCCCACCCAGCCGTTGACATCTGACAGGGGAAGATGAGTCCCTGGCACCAACACATTGCTTGGATAAAAGAGTTATCGCTTGCTTGTGTGGTGCCGTTTGGTTAGCT